ACGGATTTTTTAAGATAGGACGCTATAACCAAGTGGCTATAGGGATTTTTCTAACTAGTATGTATGGTGTTCGTTGAAACATTTTTGTAGGATGGAATGTTGAAAAATCGAAGTACATATGAGATCTTATCACCAGAAGATATTGGGATAGTAAAATCCTCAAAATCTGGACTTGTTCTTGGAAAGCTTAGGTAAGTGATGCATGAAGTTTCTTAGTTTTAGATTTACTAAAGCTATACGTACGTACTGTTGTTTTATTATTTTAACTAAACATCGTCAATGAATATATGCCAGTGGACGTCATGCTATAAAGAACCGGCTGGAAGAGGTACGTAAGACCATCATTATTGATGAACTAACTCATAAAAGCTTTTCCTTAACAAAATCTTAGCCAAGAGCCCATCAATAATAATGTCTTTAACCTATGTGATTTCGTAAAGAATTTTTAATCTTAAAGCATATATATGCATGGGACTATGAACTTTTTGGAGTTAATTTAGCATTTGATTACTCATATATATATATGTTTATATGTTTTTGTGTATTCTCAGTTGGGATACGAAATCAATGATGAGAAATTGGACGACATCTTCTCACGATTCAGAGATTTAACCAAGCTTAAAAAGGTTTGTATTTTGAATCTTTCACATGTACATAAGTTCTAAGATTAAAAATATTTACCTTAGTTTCAATTTGTTAATATATTTTCAGAGAATCACGGACGATGATCTGAAGGCATTAGTGGTGAACGTTGATGAAACCTCATCAGAGAACTTAAACAAACTTGTATCAAGCCCTCCTCATCAGGTTCCCTCTATGGTCTAAGTTTGTGAAAGACTTCGTTTAATATTTAATTTGTTTACTACAATGATATTTTTAAGTTCTTCACTTTGTGTTTGATATGCATTGTCTTGTTGTTGTAATGGAATAAATACAGTATTAACGGGGGAGTGATATTTCGTTCTGTATGTTTAATACTTTAATTTAGTTATTTTTAAATACTTTTCAAAAAAATAATGTGTGCTCTCTTACAAAATCATTTGATGAAATATATTTCAAACTTTTGGCTTCTTCCTATCTCCATGTTGGGATAAACTTTTGGCTTCTTCCACTTTACCTATATCCAAAGAATACGTCTAACTGACTGATTCCAGCATAATTAAGCAGTAGTTGTCACAATTTTATATGCTTTCTTCTTTTTCTGTTTGGGATAATTAATATCAAAGAAAATTAAGTGACAAGATAAAACTGGTTTTAAAGTCTAGCGTATACGCATGTGGTTTCTTCACAGAGATTAGTTTAATTATAAGGTTATTTTAATAGACTAGTGTATGTGATTTCTTCACATAGATTAGTTTGATTAGTTGGTGACACCTACCTGGATGTGCATACCATGTGATTTATATGTCCTAAAAGAATATGCATTTTTTATTAGTGACTAAATTCATATAATATTAACCCACTTGTTAAAGGAAGTGTAAAGAAGAAAAAGATAAAGAAAGTGCATTTAACTTGTGACTAAATTCATATAATATTTTACATAAAGAGTACTTACCCAATGGGCAATAATCTCATGGATAGAGTTCTGAGATTGTCTTTCCTTTATTGCATTATAGAAAACTCTATTGTTTTTCCCCCACATTCAACCAATGTAATTTCGACCTCTATTTCAGGAACTTCTCTTCCAATAGGCAAACTAAAATCAGTTAATGTTTTAAAGAGTATATAATTATATATGTATCAGATTTTTATAAACATATCATTAAAAACGTAGGAACAAGTCATAATACATTGGATTTATATAGTTCTTACTTCAAAACTATAGATAACCAAATCAATCTTTTTTTTTTTGCTTTCAAAAATATAATTATAAATAAAACTGGTTCCAAAAATCTATAACAAATGTAAAGAGTCTACCAAAATATATTCATCCGGATAAAAATATATCTGATCCTTCCATTCATTACTTAATTAATTATGCTGAGAATAAATTTAGTCTCTTTTTATTCTTGAAGTAATTTCAACTAATTTTTTTTTTTTTTGGTTAAAATTTCAGCTTATTAGCTAGTCTCTTTTTCTGTTTTTTTTTTTTTTTTTTTTTTGTAAATAATAAGGATCTTATCTCGCTAATCATCAATAATATAAAACACTAGAGTAATACTCGTTTTGATCTCTTTTGATTCCCTCAATCAACACACACACAAAAAAAAAAAACGCCGGAAGATGGAGATGAATTTGGAGTTGAAGCAATAGTAAAATTTGGTTAAGATTATCTTCTCTTCGAAAATTGTTTTCAAAAACAAAATTACACGTCTGATCCAAAAACATATGCATATATTTATTTTAACAAAGCTACTAATGTATCAGAACAATAATGTTTTGACAGACTTGCAAGGGATAAGTTTGGGTGTGGGTGCATGCATGTGGGCATGCAGGGATGTTCTGCATTTAATATTAAAAAAACATATTAATGGAATAAATACAAAACAAAGATAATAATTAACACCAACACTTAATATATCGTTTGTCATCATAAAAAAATCAAGTAAAAAATGTCTACCTATATATACATAGCTTATATATCATATCGCACGTGTAGTGTATCTCATTGCAAATCAAGTTTCTCATCATCTTTTAATCAAATCAAATCAAAATATATCTTATTGATCTGTCCTACGTACTCTATAGTTATGTCATTGGTAATTCACCCATCTTCCGGTATGATCACCACCTAGTCCCACTTAGGAATGTTAAAATTGGGTCATCTTTCATAGATCAATTCAATTCAACTCAACTCAACTCAAACCATGGACTCTAATAAGTTGAATTAATTTTTATCCTATTGATTTGATAAATATAATGGGTTAAGAGCACAAGCAAGTTTCAGTTCTTAATATTATCCAAAATCAACGAATAGATTAAAACCTTGCCGGATAAGTCAAGTCCCTTTGATCGGTTCGCTCAGGTGGTCTTATCTTCCCTAGAGAGGTCTATAAAACCTTGCACAAGTAGGTGATGTAGTACGTCGACAATTATTATAGTTAATAAAGAAGTAGGCTTGCAGGTCTTGACCGTTGTTGCATCATGTTCACTCACAGAGCTTCACGATTCACCTTTCTCTCCATTTTGTTTGAGTTTATATAATTCAGTCTGCCACTTCTGATATGGTCATTTAAGTTATGTTGCTTGGTTGACTGGTGTCGCTCTCGCTCCAGCTTTTGTAACTTTTCTCTTCTTCATAAATCACTCTACTTAAGCTATTTTATGTAATCTCTAATTGATATTCCTTTAAGGGAAAATGGAATGGAAAATTTTTAAAAATACAAAAAAAATCTTTGGAAACATTTTTTCCATATATCCGATAAAAAAAAAAGAGTGGCAGAGTCTTCCGTTAATAACTCGAAATTTTGCATACATGGATGAAGAAAATAATGGCACATTTATAATAGTCTTTTTTCAACAAATAAAATTTGGTTAAGAAGTGAAGTCTTCGGGAATTATTTTCAAAAAAAATCTTACACGTCTGAACCAGAAACATAATTATTTTAACAAACCTACTTTGGCTGTGACTGGAAGCATATTATTTGCGTAATTGCGGAATTGACAAAACTTTTTCGAAAAACGCATCTTAGTCACCAATCAACATTTTTTACTATAAATTTGTGGTTTTGCAAAGATTCAAAAATAAAGGTAACTGCTGTTTTCGAAAAGCAAAAAAATTCTGTGAACCGCTCTCAAAAATTAAAACAGGTTTTACACAGCGGTCGGATGAAATCCGCAATGGATTATACATATTTTTGTTTTTATATTATTATTAAAATAGTATTTATGTGTTATTTGTTCTCTTACAAATATACTAGCTTATTTCTTCTCTCATATCATTGTTGGATAATATTCAAATAAATTTTGTTTTTCTAAGTTTATAAATAATTAATGAAAATATCATTTTACTAACAATAAATAAAACAATATGAAAAAAATATTATTACACTAACAATAGATAAAACAATATGAAATCCGCACCGCAAATAATTTTTCACCAATCAAATATTATTTTGTACCGCTTATTTTGCATTAACCGCACTTGTCCCGCAAATATATTTGTTTCGCACATACCGCAGTTGATATTTGTTCCGCACGTACGGCAGCTGAACCGTACCGCACTGTTAAATCGCTTGTCCTGCACAACTAAATCCGCTGTCACCATTCGGACCCGTTGGGCGTGAATGGGAACGGTGGATTTGTAAAAGCGGGACGGTTTCTTGTAGATTCCACTTTTGTTTACCAATCAACACAATTTCTTAAAATGAAGTGTGTTTTTACTTTTGCTGATAAAAAAACAATGGTTCAAAGTGCGGTTCAGTTTTACAAAGAAAAATTGAAAAACGCATGTAACAGTAATAACGCTCATATTTTCATGTGTTTTGGAAATTTTTGTGCGCTTTTGTAAACATATGTATATATTAATGTTTATAATGTTTTCTAATCATAAATGTATTTTTCTCACTTTTTAAAATCAATTATATAAGTTTATTAATTCTAAAAGAAGTTGTTTAAAAGACATGTAAATAATTGTTTTCTATTATATTTTTGTTATTTAACATTGTTAAATGACATGTCTATATATATTTTTCAAATTTATTTCAAATAAATTTTGAGAAATTCTTGGTCATGTCCTTTTTATGATATATTTTACAAAAATATTTTTTTTATTAATATAAAAAATAATACACTAATTATTATTTTTTTACCATTTATAAAATTATTTTGTTCCGCAAGTTCTTTATTTTACCAATCAAACATTACTTTGTACCGCTTATTTTGCAGAAACCGCACTTGTCCCGTAAATACTTTGTCCCGCAGTTATACCGTACCGTTTTTTAAAAACGTTTTTCCCGTAATATCAATTACGCTGTTACCATTCGGACCCTTTGTATCAGAACCATATCATTGACAGACTTACAATGGATTAGTTTAGTTGGGCTGGGGTGCAAGTGGCCATGTGGGCATGGAGGGATGTTCTGCAAACGATAAATAAAAAAGCATATTAATAAATAAATAAATAAACAAACATAATAACACTAACACCAACACTTAATCGTAGAAAAATTGAGTAAAAATGGCTACCTATAAATATATATCATATTGTACGTGTAGTGTATCTCATTGCAAATAATTTTTCTCATCATCTATCCTTCAAATCAAATCAAAATATCTATCTTATTCTGTCCTACGTACTCTATAGTTATGGCATTGGTTCCATCTTACGGTTTGATCACCACCACTAGTCCCACCACCGTTGTCCGGTCAGTGTTACCCACTAAATCTTTTCTTCCTTCTGTCCGCCTGACCCGTCCGTGCAACAAACCGACTTTGTTAATCTCATGTTGCTCCTCTGAGTCAAAAAAGGCGGCAACTAGTGCTACTGACCTCAAACCCGCTGTGGAACGGTGGCCAGAGTACATACCGAACAAGCTCCCCGACAACAAGTATGTACGTGTACTCGACACGACACTTCGTGATGGCGAACAAGCTCCAGGTGGATCTCTTACTCCACCACAGAAGCTAGAGATTGCCCGGCAACTCGCTAAACTCCGAGTAGACATCATGGAAGTCGGGTTTCCAGGGTCATCGGAAGAAGAGTTTGAAACCGTTAAAGCCATAGCCAAGACCGTGGGGAATGAGGTAATGTTCTTTAATTCCTTCACTTAAAATAATAATATACCGCTTTTATGTTAAAACTAGTCAACTTAAATTGCATGCAACGTGACATATAGTCAAATTGGTTAGGGGTATGCATGCAAAATGATAGGATCCTCCATTGGAAGTAATGAATGACAAACACCAAATATTACTAACATAAATGGAGTAATTGTCAAAAAAGAAATCCTATAAAGAATAAATACTTATTAATCAATAATTTTGGTGGTATATATCCTTAGGTTGATGAGGAAACAGGTTATGTCCCGGTGATAGCCACCATTGCACGAAGCAAACGTGGAGACATAGATGCAGCTTGGAATGCGGTGAAGTACGCGAAGAGACCGAGGATATGCGTATTCATATCTACGAGTGACATTCACATGAAATATAAGTTGAAAAAGACTCAAGAAGAAGCGATCGAGATGTCCGTGAGTAGTGTTAAGTACGCCAAAAGCTTGGGCTTCACCGACATCCAATTTGCTTGTGAAGATGGCTGCAGGTCCATATCTTAAAACTTTAATATACATATATCGATCGTCTTTTAAACCATCCGTTTGGTTTTTACGTTTCCTTACATAATGCTTTTTCGTGATCTTATGTTTGCAATTTGCATTTACAAAAAATAAAATAAAAAACTGAAAACATGTTTTATTTGTTTAAGCATATATTTTCATTTTTGATTTAATAATAAAGATCAATAATGGATTGAATATAAACATAGTTGGCCGTTAAGTTATGTAGATATGATCACATCATATCTGGATTTTAAATACTATCGTGTAATTTATCAGGTCGGACAAGGACTTTCTATGTAAGATTCTAGGAGAAACGATAAAAGCCGGTGCTACATCGGTGTGCGTGGCGGACACGGTAGGGATCACCGTACCGCAAGAATTTGGAGAACTAGTGACCTATGTGATAGCAAACACTCCTGGTATTGAAGATGTTGTCTTCGGCGTTCATTGTCACAACGACCTTGGTCTTGCTACCGCCAACACACTCGCCGTACGTACTTAACTATAATCTCCCTGTCTCTGTGTTGGATTAGTTATACACAACCGCATTACAAATATATATTATCAAAATCATCATGACAAAAATATCGAACGATAACGTGTTCACATTATATTTATATAGGCTGTATGTGCCGGAGTTAGACATTTCGAAGTAACGATCAATGGAATAGGTGAAAGAAGTGGGAATGCGCCGCTTGAAGAGGTAAGATCGTCTAATCATGAGTATGTTTCTTTGGTATAGTAAAGTATAAGTTTTATAAAAAAATAATGCAACCTTTAAATTAAGTTTTTTTGATAAGTTAAGTGAGAGTATTTTAAAAAATAGCAATCGCACCATCAGAATAATTAGGAAATGTGACTATCAAATTAAGTATTGTTTAGTGGACTCATCAAGCGTACTGATCCATGTGCTTTATGGAAAAACCGATTCTGTGACTGTGTGTAGGTCGTGATGGCTTTGAAATGTCGAGGAGAATATCAGATGGATGGTGCTTACACAAAAATAAACACACGCCAACTTATGGCTACTAGCAAAATGGTAATTTTATATATACACATTGAAACCCATTTTTCTATGTATGACAATATCGATAAATAACGATGCTATTTCCTATGGCCTTCATAAGTATTAACAAAAATATAAGTATATATTATTGCATGCGCAGGTTCAAGAGTATACCGGCTTATATGCTCAACCACATAAGCCTATAGTCGGAGACAACTGTTTTGTACATGAGAGCGGCATTCACCAGGTTCCGTAATTTATAATACTTGTATATGTATGTCATAATAAAATCAAGAAATGAGAATAAATCATTTGCTAGTGTATTTATATGTTTAATGATTGTTCAAACATTTTTGCAGGATGGGATGTTGAAAAATCGAAGTACATATGAGATCTTATCACCAGAAGATATTGGGATAGTAAAATCCTCAAAATCTGGACTTGTTCTTGGAAAGCTTAGGTAAGTGATGCATGAAGTTTCTTAGTTTTAGATTTACTAAAGCTATACGTATGTACTGTTGTTTTATTACTTTAACTAAACATCGTCAATGAATATATGCCAGTGGACGTCATGCTATAAAGAACCGGCTGGAAGAGGTACGTAATAAATAACCCATGTGATTTCGTAAATAATTTTTACTCTTAAAGCATATATATATGCATGGGACTATGAACTTTTTGGAGTTAATTAATCATTTGATTAATCATATATATATATATATATATATATATATTTACATGTTTTTGTGTATTCTCAGCTGGGATACGAAATCAATGATAAGAAATTGGACGACATCTTCGCACGATTCAGAGATTTAACCAAGCTTAAAAAGGTTTGTATTCTGAATCTTTCACATGTACATAAGTTTTAAGATTAAAAATATTTACCTTAATTAGTTTCAATTTCTTAATACATTTTCAGAGAATCACGGACGATGATCTGAAGGCATTAGTGGTGAACGTTGATGAATCCTCATCAGAGAACTTAAACGAACTTGTATCAAGCCCTCCTCATCAGATTCCCTCTATGGTCTAAGATTGTGAAAAACGTCGTTTATTTGATTTGTGAACTACAATGATATTTTTAAGTTCTTTAATTTGTGTTTCATATGCATTGTCTTGTTGTTGTAATGGAATAAATACAGAACGGGGGAGAGATCCTTTCGTTATGTATGTTTAATTTATTTATTTTCAAATACCTTTTAAAATAATAATGTGTGCTCTGAGAAGCACATTTGTAACGGACCATTTGATAAAATACATTTCAAACTTTTGGCTTCTTCCTATCTCCATGTTGGAACAAACCTTTGATTTCCACTATACCTATATCCAAAGAATACGTCTAATTGAGTGAGAGAACGATTTGGGGAAAACTCTTTATTATTATTGTGTGTTAGAGAATTGATACAATATATAGAGGTTAACTTATGTTTAGCTTAATTAGAATAGGAAAAGTAAATATTATAAATCTTTTAATCTTTATCACATTTCTAAAATATTCTTCGCTTTAAGTTTTACGGGTTTACTTCAATAATGAATTTTCACGATCCGTTGATCCGCAAAATATACATCTTGCTCCCCAAAATATCTCCAATTAGTTGTCACTAATTTATATGTTTTCTTTTTTTTTCTTTGGAATAATTAATATCATTGATTTTTTTTTTTATCGGTCATCTTCAATATGTTATTATCTCGTTGGATATTGAGAAAGAAATAGAATTTCATTAATATTATTGCATGAAATAATCTTGAGACATGTCCAGAGAAGTTTTGGGCCTGAAGCATAAACAATAATAGCTCTATAAAGTTACTACTAAAAAAAAAATTACAAAACACAATCGGTCTCATATGGTAATTTTTATAAAAAAATTTCTTATATAAGAACAAAGACATTTGATAAAGATCGCAATGGAGGCAAAGTCAAAGGGGCTTTGTAACTCACCAGTCAACACCGTCCATATATAAACCTCATATATCTAGTTAGTGACAACCACGTCTGAACGTAGTGGCCGAAGCCGATCGATGTGGTAATCACGTAATTTCTTCTGGCCAACGTCAGTGGTTGGTGGAAGGAAACAAATTACTCACAGTAACCGTTTTTACTACTATTAGTATTAATTAGCAAATAAAAACACAAAAAGCCACATGTTTATATTTTTAAGATGCATGATAAATTGATATTATAGTTACTAAATTCTCAACTTGCGCATACAATAACTAAAATTTGAAAAATTTATTTTTCAACATAAATAATATATTTTCCAAATAATATTCACTATATATATTTACACATTTTACAAATTGTTTACGTGAAACAAGTTCATTATGACAAATTGGCAATATTCCCTTTAGTTACATCCTCGTATAGACAAGTATTTAATATCTATCACACTTCAAGAAGTTTGTTTTCTCTTCACAACCACCACTTTTACTTGTCTTCTTCTTTCTCTCCGGCTAAAATAACCGCCGATAAAAACAATGCTCCGGCTAAGCAACGCCGCTGTAATAACAACCAATGCAATCCTCGCATTGATCGGCCTTGCAACTCTATCTTTCTCCATCTACATCTTCGTTCACGGTCCAACACAGTGTCAACGCTACGTTCAAAACCCACTCATCGTAACAGCGGTTCTCCTGTTCTTCATCTCTTCCTTAGGCCTTATCGCTGCTCTCTACGGAAGCCACATCATCATCACTCTCTACCTTTTTTTCCTCTTCCTCTCCATCCTTCTCCTCCTTGTCCTCTCTGTCTTCATCTTCCTTGTCACGAACCCTACGGCCGGAAAAGCGTTTTCCGGGAAAGGAATAGGTAATGCCAAGACAGGAGATCTCCAGAACTGGATCGGGAACCATTTCCTTCAAGGGAAGAACTGGGAAGGGATCACCAAATGCTTGTCTGATTCTAGGGTTTGTAAGAGGTTTGGTCCACGTGACGTTGACTTTGACTCCAAACATCTCTCGCATGTACAGGTATGTCTTTATATATACATCAAGTGGTTCTTATTTAACAATGTATACTAGACAACAATCTTAACAATGTGTTAAAAGCGGTTTTGGTTTTTTTTTTTTTTTTTTTTTCTTTCGTTTAGTTTGGTTGTTGTCGACCTCCCGTAGAATGTGGATTCGAATCGAAGAATGCTACGTGGTGGACAGTTCCAGCGACAGCAACTAGGGCCATGGCAGGGGATTGTAAAGCGTGGAGTAACACACAGAGCCAGTTATGTTACGCGTGCGAGTCGTGTAAGATTGGAGTTTTAAAAGGGATAAGAAAAAGATGGAGGATTCTTCTCGTGTTCAATCTTCTTCTCATACTTCTTGTCGTGTTTCTTTACTCATGTGGCTGCTGTGTCAGAAAGAACAATCGTGTTCCTTGGAAGCGCCGGTTCCTCTAATTAAAAGCTCCTTCCGTTTAATTATCCTTCAGATTTATTCAATATATTATTTTTGTATTATACTTTTCAAAACTTTAGTTCATGTCTGATGTTTCCTCTAGTGAATATCGTCGTTGTGTTTATGAATATTGGTTTGAAGAATATGGGGTTTCGGTTGTATTAATGTGTGTTCAATGATGGGAAAAAAACAAATGACTATTGGAACATGTTTTAATGTTTTGGTCACATATTTAGATAAAAATAAATAGAAATTAGAGAGTTATATATGTGAATTAACATGTAGAGTTGGTAGTGAAGGAGGGAAGAAACACTTGGAGCAAACAATTGGACAGTTATTCATATACCAAGTGATGATGTTTTAATATTGATATAACTCGTAATCATGATGTTTTAATATTGACCGATTGAATTAAAAAGAAGTTATATATATCGAATGATCATACATGATAAGTGTATGTATAAAAAAAGTTGACTGATGAACTCACATGAAAGAACTACTTTACTCAACACCAATTTCTTCATTAAGATAATTTGATTCCTTTAATTTTTTTTTTCTTCTCTTTTTGGTTTAGTGTAATGGTAATTATTGATAACTCTTTCATATTTGAGAAAATGAGAAACAAATCAAACAGTTAAAAACTTACACTAATATTTCCGAAGCAACGTTCTGTAATTGTTGTGGGCAAAAGAACAAAAACTGTCTCGATAAAACCTCAACTTACTTGAGGAAAGTACAAGATAGGAACAAAAACCCATAAGCGACCAGTGATGTTAGGAGCTCGAGCGTCCATGTCGGGTTAAGGAGTACCGTCGGAATCATGGGAATGATTAGTGAACCGCAGAACCACCCAGCCACTAATGCTCCAATTCTGCAATCATAAAAGCCAAACAGATCATGAGATAACGAGTAACCTTTGAGTTTTCAATTTAGCTAATTTGATAGGACTAGGAGTTTACCCAATTAGACAAGCTCTCCCCAAGCTCTTTGTCTTCTCATTCAGGAAATATATGCACGCAGCCAATGATACCGCCACCTACAAGTACAGCCACAGATTTCATAAACCATATATGTGAACAAAGTAAGAAGAGAAACTCATAAACTTCCATCTCTGCATCGAAGTGTTAATCCTGTGCTAAGGTGTCTAGTATAGAATAGCTGATCATCTGCTAGATTAGATCGTCTACTAAAGATTATAATCCCATTGTACAAGTAGCAAACCTGAAACGCAGGACCGCCTTCTGCTGAGTTCATGATACTCCAACCACCCATGAAGGCAAAGAGGAAAAGTCTTCTGAATATAGTGTCCACTGGTGGCATTTCAACAAAATCAAGAAGAGCCTTGAGCCAAGGAGGAGATTCGTCAACTTTCTTCTTCAACCTTGTTTTAAGATTGATTTTAGTCTTCTTCCTTCTGATAAAACTAGACATTAGAAGCTTCTCGAAAGCGCCTTCTATTGATTCTTCGCTTCTCTCATGTCCAGCGTACTGCTGTAAGAGAAAGTTACGGGAAGCCCAGATTTCTTCCTCGGAAGCATATGGACTAATTCCTAGACGCTTGTACGGATCCCAAACTCTGGTCCGAGGGAATGTGGGGGCATTGCCTATACAAAGTCATTCACATAGTAGCTAGACATGAGCAACAACTAAAAAAACTCAAAGCTTGAGAAAGTGAGGAGGAGTATATATAACTCTTATCTTTCTAAGCAACTCTACACTAAAACCCATTATCTATGTCTCTTCAAGAATCCTTCATTCGAATTGTTCCACAAAAGATGATTTTTTTTGGGATAAGAAACGACCAAATCGTAATCGAAACAGACTAAAATTGAGAAAAGGGGGTTTTACAAATTGAGGGAGAAGAGAAGACAATACATACCTCCATATGAAGAATCAAGGGTGCACCTAACGATTTTGAAGTTTCTCGAAACATTCCGAAATGGTAAAAGTGGTGACTTATTGGAATTTCGTACGAGAGAACTGAAAAATCAGAAAACAACAACAACGCTGATTACATAAGCTCTGTAAGAATCCAAATCCATGGAACTTACAGAAACAAACCCTAAAAAAATTTCCAAATCCGAATTTGAACAAAGCCACCAACTAATTGCGACGAGTTAGTTCAAAATCCCTAAGCAAAGACGAAGGGAGAGAGAGAGCGAGAGAGAGAGAGAGGGAAAGCAAATTACAGCTTCGATGGAGCGATAAACGGAGAAGATACAGTAGAACCGGAGAGAAGAAGAGACGAGGACATCGTTCCTCCGCCGGACTAACCCGACGGCGTTTTATAGCTTAGGCTTCGCTGAAGATGAAACTAGCTTATAATAAGAACGTTTTGTGTATATGAAAAGGAAGATAAGCGTGTAGTTGCTATCTTGCACCGACTCGCGTACATTAGATAATGACTCTACATCTTTTAAATTTCACGTTTATGTCCATGTATTTAGTAAATATTCGAATATCACCCCTAATATTTCCCAATTAGTTAACATGACACCTGTTAATTGGTCACCAACTCACAAAATTTGAAGTCAGAATTGTTTCAAATTACTGTTTTATAGTCAATATCCTGTTATTTACGTTTTTCAGTTTAAAAACAAAAAATATGTGATCAACGTTATTTGATGATTATTGTTTTATGCTGTGTTTTGGATCCAATATTATGGTTTTTATTTATTATTGTTATGAAATAGAATACATAATCTTAAATAGGATGGGGTAAAGGATCTGACTACAAGACTATTTACACTACTAGACCCTCTCTTTATTATGTGATTTGAGAATCAATTATTGATACAGACGTGGACATGGATGTGGATTTTACAACAAAGACTACAAATGTGGTTTTGTGTTGAATGGCAAACCAACAATTGGTATTTTGAGAGCAATTGCCTCAAAGCTTTGAGTTAAGACCGGTCTGAGTTAGCTGTTGCCTTAGAACTCTTCTCATAACTTTATTTGTGGCTGTCCTCGGTAAAGAAGGCAGATTCACAACAGATGATACCTTGAAATCAAATGTAAAAAACACACATTAGCCCGCTAAATTGTCTGAAATCTGAAACCACATAACAACTTATGAACTCTCTTGTGTTTGTTGTTTGTATGATATGTACCTTGAATAATGGATTCAGTTTCTTTTGTATCTCAGAGTTGAAGGTTTTCTTTAAGAGGCTCAATTCGTGATTTGATGACTCCGAGCTCTTGAGCACAACAGCGATTACTAGCTGCTCAGGACCGCCACTAGGAGGTGGAACACCAATGGCTGCTGTCTCCAGAACATTTTCATCAACGCAGTTACACACTCGTTCGATCTCAATAGAACCGACCTGCACAAATACAATTAACAGAATGCCGCTTGTGATGATGATACAGATTGTTAGGCTGGTGCATATTTCTTATTAATGGAGATGATCTTTCAATACTATATAGGAATCTGTACAGTAAGTTTACCTTTATGCCACCAAGATTCATTGTGTCATCAGCACGTCCGTGAGCACGGTAGTATCCTTTTGAAGTCCGTTCAAATAAATCCCCATGTCTTCGTAAAATCTATCGAAAAGCAGACAAGCTTCAGACTTTAAACAGACGAAAACCTCTATCTACATATGGCTAGAGTTGGATTACCTGTCCTTGGAAGGTGGGCATTCCTTTGAAGTAAACTTTGTAGTGATTTCCGTTCAGAAGAGTGCTAGAAGCTCCAAATATATGAGGAAAAAGTGCCAATTCGCCTACTCCTGGTGCGTATGGAGGCTAAAACGAGGAAGAAAAAGTAAAGATCATACATCATTTATACCGTAAGGTTTTTCAGAAGAAACACTGCATGACCTATATAATATCATAAAGTTTCTTACAATTGAATCGCCATCTTCACCGAGAATGAAAAGCTTGCAACCCATGGCAGCTGTGCTAAAAGCAGCCAGCGACTGGGGTTGAAGCAAAGAACCTGCGATAAAACTACCTCCAATCTCAGTTCCGCCACAATACTCGATTACGGGTTTGTAATGTGCTCTGCCCATCAGCCATAGATACTCGTCTACATTTGAAGCTTCACCAGTGGAACCAAAACAACTATCGCAAAAGTATCAATATAAAATATCAATGTTACGGCATAGACAAATCTTCTTGACTTCAACAACTAACTACATAAGATGTTTAAATTTGTTATCAGAAATAGCCACAATATATACCCAAAATAATAGATATATTTCTGAAAGAATACGTGGTGGCATAAAAGCATTACTTTACTTCTTATTCTCAAACAATCAATGGTCCGCACCACAGATATAATTTAGGCTCAACAACTTTCTGAATATGCACTTTCGGTATTACCGGATTCGTGACCAGTCATAGCCAGAAGTAGAGTTTGAGTTTTGCCATGTCCGAACAATGCTTGGTATCACGCCTAACACTGTTACTTCGGCATCCTAACCCCAGAATATAAACATATGGTAAATTTGATGTCTTATTTTATTTGTGGAAATCTTTGCACAGTCAACCATGCAATGAAATCCCAAACTAAACCATTCAATGAAATCCAGTCATTCATAGCTCCCATTTGATGTTTCACGATGCAATGTTTTCTTTTGTCTCTGTTAGGCTTTTATTTCTGTTTAAACCATGAGATGAGAATGCATAGTTTTATGATGTACCTGCACAAACTTGGCAAACGCAGGACCAAGAGGTGATCCATTGTATAATCCCATGCAAGCCCCGTTTATCAAGGAAGCATAAACAAGCCACGGACCCATCATCCACCCAAGGTTGGTCGGCCAAGCAATAACATCCCCCCGATGAACATCCAAGTGGCACCAAGCATCAGCAGCAGATTTCAGAGGTGAAATGTTTGTCCATGGAATAGCCTTTGGCTCACCTACACCAGGAATAAAAAAACTTGGTAATTCAACACCCACATCCTCATCTACATAACATGAAGCAGTTTGATTCATTGATTTACCAGTGGTTCCTGATGAGAAAAGGATGTTCGTGTAAGCTCCTGCAGGTTTCTCTACAGCAACATATTCCACGCCTCTGTTTGCACAGTATAGCATACATCATTTTCAAATCTCCGGGAATGGAACAGCAAGCTCTAAGTGTTTCTCAAACAATATCGTAGTAACTAGATTTTAAGGACTCTGTTTGACACAATTGACATTTCAGAATAGCTTGATCCAAAACTTTAGTTGTCACATTAGACCATTACTAACCATAGCAATAATGTTTAGCAGTTTTTCCTATTCTAACTAGAAGCTGCGAGATAATATGAAATGCAGTAGACAGTACCTCAAACTTCTTGCATTCCCCAGAAAGTTGTTCCAAGACAAATCCTTCTCACGCAGCTTCGTTCTGCAGCTAGAGCCTCTAGCTGGGATAACAACTGCCAGAGGTGCTTCTGCATCAACGACTCTTCTGCAGAATGGAGTAGATAATGTTAGACCAGTTTTACAGCCAAGATCTTGAAACAAAACATGTCCTGTTGGATTACAAGAATTTCACCTATAGAGGGGAATACTTTTATCACCGCGAATAATCACATCCTGCAAAGAAGAAAAAAGAAATGAAATGAAAACTTTAAAAACTGAAATACAATGAGTAGAAACCATGTTATACGCTGCTTTTTTTATACAGTGGCCACTACAATAATTCAAACACTGCGACTTTTCACTGTTCCTAAATCCACAGATCACCTAACAACCGTTCGGATTTTGGCCACAACTTAAACTAAATTCAAAAAGCAAAAGCAAACAGTACATCACTAAAACCATCACATCACACTGTATAATAGGTTAACAGCAAAGTGTACACTTTCATTATCCATCCATCAACGAATCATAAAAAAATTTACCTGAGTAAATATGGCTTTAGCTTTCGAAATTTTAAGCCGTGTTGATATTTCACGGGGAGAGAAACTATCGGCTATGGAAACAACTACATGGCCAGCTAAGACAATGCCAAGGTAGATGATCACAGACTCAACATTCATTGGCATATCAACCGCAATCGCTGACTCTTCCTCCAAATCCAAAGCACTAAGTGCATGTGCAACCAACCTACACATCATACAACAATAGTTTTCTTGATTTTGATATTAAAATAAAAACCACAACACTTGAGAAAAAAACCATCACATAAAAAGCATCCGTTTTAATCTAACAAAAGGAGACAAAGATGAGAAATTTCATACCAGACATGTGATCGTAACTCGAGAAGTGTCATGGTATTAACAGGAAGATCATCGCTTCCTTCGTCACGCCATCTAATCACAATATCATCCAATCTTCTCTTGAAACCACTAGTCAAACAATTTCTTGCAGGATTCAAGTAAGCACCAGGAAGCCAATTACCTCCAGGATTAACTCCAGATGTATCCTTTTCTAAAATACACTTAGGAGGTACAGAGAACACTATGTTTAACTCATCCAGTACAGTTTTCCAATACACCTAATCCAAAAAAAAAAAAAAAAAAACATATAAATCAACAGCTGATTTCATGAAGATCAAATAAAAAACACACTACATAAAAAAAGTTACCTCAGGATTCGACACAGAGAACTCTTGAAAACTCGAGAAACTCGAAACTGGGTTCTTGTAATTCTCACCTAAGAACACTTTACCACGCCTCTCTAGTAACTTCCCTACGTTAGTTGAAGAAGCAACCTTCCTATAAAAAAATCATAAATTTTAAGAAGAATCAAACAAAAGATGAAAAGACGGAGAAATCGATTATAAGTAGTAAGAAAAAACCATACGGGTCGGGTATCCAAGCGGGCGGGTCGGGTCCGAAGTCTTTGTAGCAACCGTAGTACAACATCTGATGAAATGAGAAAGGGAGATTAGGATGCAAGATCCGCCGAGAAACCTGAACCCATGTCTCCACCGGCGCGTCGGGACCATGACTACGAATAATCTCGCCGAGATCCTTGAGAAGCTTCTCAGCGACATCGCCGGAGATGCCTAGAGCTTCGACGTCGGATTTGGTGATCGAATCTAGGGATTTGTACGCCATTTTTGATTTTTACAGAGGAAGCTTTAACAAAGCATGAATGAGAGAATGATTCAAAAAATTGGGTGAGAGTGGCAGAGATGAGTGGCAAAACTGTCCACGTAATATAAAGAGCGCTCGTGACTGCCACGTGTCAATCTAATTCTGATCTCTGACAATTTTTTTGTTTTTGCTTCACTCTTTACACGTCTGATTAAGATCATCATCTTCTTCTTCTTGATAGGAGTTACATTTTTGATTACTTTTTTTTTTCTTTTTTTCAATTATCATGTTATGAATCTTTTTATTGATTCCAGTCTATATACATTATACATTGTATGAATTATGAACTTTGAATCTTTTTATTGATTTCAGTCTATATACAGTATGTAGTTGAACTTTCTGACATGCAACTTTTTTTTCTTCCTCTTTTCTTTTTATCTTTTCCACTTTTGTGATCATTATCTTGTATTTGTTTATGATGTTTATATGTATCTTTTTTATTGATTTTTCAGTCTAGATACGACTTCTCATCCATTTGGATCATATATATGAATCAGTATAGTTTTATGATTTGATGGATATTGCACAATTTTCAAAATTTGTATGTGTTTTTTCACATTATTGAGAGCACTAAACTAAACTCCAAAAAAACTTTTGTATACAGCAAATGGCGAATGGCAAATGGCAAAGCCCACTTAAAGGTAAAGCAAAGCCACAGTGACAGACCTACCAAGATTGTCCAAAAATGATTTGATGTGCACATACAACCAGAGTGTAAAGCTATCCTCAGTTTACTTCTTAATCTCAAATTCTTACTACAACTTTACAAGATTTTCAGATTTCTTATACATGATCTGCAGGTTTTGCTAAATTTACTTCAGTTCGATTTCATATTCGTTTGTTTATTTTTCTGGTTTATCATGATCGATCCATCAATGTAAAAGACAAGTAATAACTCGAAAATCTTTATCAAAAGATATATATATCTCTCAAAGTTGAGAAATAAAGGAATTTAAAACAAGACCTTTTTAAAACTATATATGTATCCTCTTGTTCTTTTTTTCAGTCGGAGCTAGGAAGGAACTTGGTTCCGGATCTAGTGCCGAAGTTTGCCGGGATAATACGCGATGGGGACAAGACTTGCGCGAACGAGAAGTTGTATGAATCAGTGCCTAACCTGCTCTGCAACCATCCTCTGCCACCAGAGAATCCATCTGCCACAATATAACAATTCTTGAACCCGAGAACCTTTAACGTTTTCGCTACTATCTTAGCCGAGTCCGAGTACCTACAGGCCAAATAAGACCGATAAAGATTAGAAAGATGAATCGTTATTGGTTTAAGTACATTGACAACTTCATCTAAAGAGAAATAAACAAAACTCACGAGTCCAAGATGATGATATTGGAGCCTTTGTTGATTTTCTTGAGGTAAGAAATCTTTAATGCAGCTATCTCTGCTTCAACCCGTTTCGAGTTCCTCACAATTCCTTTTACTTTGTTTGGTAGTTCTTCTAATCTGATCATCACAAGAACAAGGGTTTTTGTGTTTCTCTCAATCTTTCCGGTATAGAAAACACGAAAAAGGATGTTCAAAGATAAACAAACACTTACGGTATGGCGATCATACGGTTCTTAGCATTAGAAGGGAGCCTTGGAATCCCAGCTTTCTCCTTGTCTTTCTCTGATCTTATATCCACCATTAAGTAGTTCTTGGAACAGAGAAGATCAAGGGTTTGAGCCGGTGTGAGATCACCTTCATTCAAAACATCAACCACAAATACAGAGTTAATTCTCAATTTTTTTTTTGCTATGCTTCACTATATACTAATAATAACATCTGTGACATTTCCACCAAAGTTAATTTATGTTGGCCTCAAGATGATCTGTATGGAGTATCAAGCTAAAAAATGAGGTACCTTTGTATCCACGGAAGTTAAAAGATATTGCAGACCAAACAGGAGGGAGAAGAAGGTAAGCAATAAACGCAGCACCAGCAGCAACAACAATGACACTAGGATCAGCTGAAGAAATTGTGTCCATGGTCGATGAAGCAATCGGCTTAGCATCTTCAATCGCTTTTGTTGTCTGTTGTGCTACATCTGTTACTGTCTACATACCAAGCAAGATAACACAAACCATTTTAAACCCTAAACCCCAAAACCTAAATTGCTAACTTCTCCAACAAATTTGCAATGTTAAAAAAATCTGACCTTTGCAGCATTAAAGACAGGCTCTGAATCAAAACCAGAGTTCTGCATTGCTTCTTGAGCTTTCTTTGAAGCTTCTGAGAAAGCAGGAGAAGCAAGCTTTATAGCCTCTTCACCAGCTTGCTTTGCAATGGGCAAAGCAGTGTCCAAGGCTGGTTTAAGAGCATCTCCTACTACTTGGAACACACGCTGCGTTGCATCAAAAACACTCGAACCAGTTTCTTGAACTTGGTTGATTGTTTTCTCCACCTGTTAAACACAAGAACACTCGTTAGCAAAGAAGATTTGGTCATCACAAGACAAAGTTAAGTGAGATTTTTATTACTTCAGTGAGAGAGGAGACGATTTGGTCCTTGGAAATGGAAACAGCAGCTTTGGCTTCATGTGGAGGAGATGCAAAAAGAGATAACAGAGATATTGAGGTTGATGTTGGAAGTGAAACAGAGATTTGTCTCACTGTCTTCTTACAAAACGAAGAAGAAGAAGAAGAAGGAAGAGTGAGTTTTGCAGATACTGAAGACTTCATTGCCATCTCCGCCATAGCCATGGTTTCCTCTCTGCCACACCTTTTTCCAAATCAATGCGACAGAGAAAGAGACAAAGAAACTCTTAATACACTTCTCTTCAATGTTTGTCTGCAAACTGTTTTCTTCAGCTTTACCCTTTTTTTCTCTAAAGATTATAAAGAAATTGAGTTTCTGGTTAAGATTGAACAAAGGGGGATTTGAAAGATGGTTTCTGATTGGTCAGACTTATCCTACGTGGCAATTTTTGGTGTAAGCTTAGCCATTCGTTACCGATCCAAAACCGAATCTTTTGCTTTTGCGTTCTTGATATATGTAGTACAAGAATTTTATTGTAAACAGTAATATCAAAGGTGTACACTGTACTACAGAATAAGAGCAACAATACACTGAAACATTAGAAATTATACAACTAAAAACAGAAACAAAGTGTGGTAAAGAAGTGCACGGTTGTGAACAAAGGAACTGTATGTGTATTAGCCGCCTCTTTGAACAATATGCTTCATCTGTTCGATTGTTAATCGAAAAGGCGGTTCAACCTCCAAACGCCTCAAATTGTGTTACCAATCAAAACCATAGTAGAATGTATATCTCTTGTATGAACCAAAGACCAAAACTATAATCAAACTTCATCCAAACACAAAACCAAGACTGAAGGAAGATGACCAAACATACCAGATCACTAGCTTCATAGCATAAACAATATCTTTAGTTCCCCATAATGTATAGTAGTAATATACCATAACAAGACCTTAAAACAAACTAGCTAACATATAAGCAAACTCAAAGCCGGTTTTTCAATGATGCTGTTTCATGGATTTCACAACTATGCTGCTATCAAAGTATTAAGTTCACGTTTGTTAACAAATTCCCTGGAAAGTAGAATATCAAATCCATTAGTAAGTAGTGACACAATCAGTCCATCATCACGGTCACAACCTCTATATAAGAATAACACTATTTTCTGATGTTTAAACGCCTGTCTTGCGTGAGGAATCTAACAAAGTCTTAGACTCTTAGATCTTGAAAAAAAAAAAGAACAAGATTCTCATTTGCTTACCTAATATGAGAATGGAATCATGTTACCATTTGAAGTTTGCTCCAAGGAAATATTAAAACCCACGAGCTGAGGAATCCATTCACTTCACAAGATTCCTTCACCTTTTTCTCTTTTTTTTTTTCTGTACCAGCCAAAGAAGAGCAAAAGAGAACACATATGACTACCAACGAAAGTGTCTTTCTCAACAGATAGAGGGCGACAGACACGAAAGTTCCCTGAGTGAATTTGATTCTTCTTGATCATCTAACTTTCATAATAAATAGTAATGCTTCAAAACAGAGACTAATGCAAAAAATAAACAAGGAAGCAGTATTTGCTCTCTGGACTGCTATGAGTCAACGAATACCACCACTTGAATCCTGATTAAAAGGGTTATTACGCTATCTGGATTGCACAATGTAGCACAGTTTTTGAGTAGTTACAACAATGCTAGTATCAGAAAAGGGCAATGTCCTCGTAAAATTAGCAAGTAACATAGAGCCAGAGAAGAAAACACACAATGCATCAAGAAAACCAGAGATCAGAGCATCATAGCCAATGGTCAGACCAAACACAAAACCAGCAGTGAGGGGGAACGAAACTATATACATTATTAGGTAGAACTCAAAATCTTAGCTACATGTTAAAACCAAATGCATCATTAATCAATCAGATTCAAGACCATTGTTCAAAAAAAACAGATCAAGAGAATAAGTTGACAACACAATATTATCACTAACCTGTAGAGGAATACTAAAACTGAAAAAAACAGATATGTTACCAAAAATAAACAAACAAACACTAAAAACTTTTTTTCAAAGAGACAAAGACACAGTTCTCTTTACTTTGCTTTCATTACCAAATTACATTTGGGACAAAAGAGGATGAAACAAATTCAGGGAAGGAGCAAGCGCTGGATGCAGAGGTTTATCGATCGATTCGTGCTTTCGATGTAAATTATATTCCAAAACCATCGAAACATTTAAAAAAAGAGAGTTCCCAGGAATTGATCGATGAACCGCTGCCTCCAGCGACTTTACTCTTCAAAATCAAATCACTCATAAATAATTACAAACATAAAATTTGTATGAGAGATCTGAGAGAATGAATTGATAAGGTGATTGAACACAAATAATTGTCATTGATCTCAAAAAAAAAAGAAAGAAGATAAAAATATATACTGAGAGGTAGATGCATAGTCATAACTATATCTAACGAGCTCTCGAATATATAGAAATTTTATGAGAGACTGAGATTGAGAGAGAGAGAGAGAGGAGTGGGTTACAAAACAAATATACAAATACAAAAACATGCATATGAGTGAATAACTCTCTGGAAACAATAAAAATCTTTTAGAAAGGAGGAGAGGAAGAATCTTTCGTGACTCACCGTTTTTGCCGTACAAATTTATCATCCTCGTCTTTTGTCCTTTTTGGTCAAAAATAAATAATTTATAGGACTCAAAAGTCTCTATGATTGACAGACTCATGAAATGATTTTCACATTTTAAAATTATTTCTTCTTCTTTTTATTACTGTTTTACTTTTAGTATATCGTTTTCCTGTTTCTAAAAAAAAAAAAAAAAAAAAAAGTATATCGTTTTCCATTTTTGTAAACATTTAAGCAACGAGTAGGTTTCTTTCAACAATTTGACTTTAACCAACTTATGGAAACAAGAATTGAGCAAAGCACTGTAAACATATATAGAGTAAAATCTTTCTTCAGATATTTTCTTTTTGATACAGAGGCCGGTAAGTCACTCGATGTATTACAACTTGGTGACCTACGTTATTGGTGAGATCTTAACAAGTATTTTAACCTAAAATTTGATCTTAAAATACTTATTAAAATCTCACCAATAATATTGCCTTCGACTTTTATACTTTTAAAATGAATGTTAGTCACTCTCAAATACTACTAGAATGAATGTTAATCTCTCTCAAATACCAACATCAATGAATCTTTGGATTATCCAGACAAGACATAGCCCTATCTACAGTTGCCTCATCCCCGCAAACTAGACGGAACAGAAAGGTAAAAGCTCCTACCCCATGCGGTTAATATATTTGCAAATTACCAATGTAGATCAAACCAAAAAAAGAAGAAGATTACAAATGTAATATCGTTTTTTTAATATTATAAATAGTTAAAGGAAACTGTTAAAAATTCTTAACTTGTACTCCAAAACTAAACTGTTAAAGATTACAAAAATAAAATTTTAAATCAATTAAAAAATTGTCTTTTGGCGTTCCAATAAACCCCTTTTCCCCAATAAACCCTAACTCCGCAGCAGCTTTCATCTCCTTCCTCCTCCTCCTCCTCTTCCCTCACTCTGTATTCAAAATTCAAATGTTTGGTTTCTCAATGAGAACTTTAATCTCACCATCTCTTGTTCCCTTCTCTCTTCACCACCTCCCTAAACCTTCTCTCTTCTCCGCCGCACTTCGCTTCTCCTCCCTCACCATTTCCATCTCCGCTACCAACAACAATTCCCCCAAACATTCACCTTATTCCGCAATTTCCACCAGAAACGCACATACGACGGCATCATCATCATCGTCATCACTCTCCCTCTCACCTCCCGGAGAGATACACGTCGTAGTCGGTCCAATGTTCTCCGGGAAAACGACAACACTTCTCCGCCGTATCCTCGCCGAGAAACAAACCGGTAAAAATATCGCCGTCATCAAATCGAACAAAGACACAAGGTACTGCACCGAATCGATAGTGACTCACGACGGCGAGAAGTTCCCGTGCTGGTCACTCCCGGATCTATCGAGTTTCAAGGAGAGATTCGGAATCGAAGACTACGAGAATCGGTTAGACGTGATCGGGATAGACGAAGCTCAGTTCTTCGGAGATCTATACGAGTTTTGCCGCGAAGCTGCTGATAAAGAGGGTAAAACTGTAATTGTTGCTGGATTGGATGGTGATTTCATGAGGAGGAGGTTTGGTTCCGTGCTTGATTTGATTCCGATTGCGGATACAGTCACGAAGCTGACGTCGAGGTGTGAGGTTTGTGGGAAGAGAGCTTCGTTTACGATGAGGAAGACGGAGGAGAGAGTGACGGAGCTCATCGGTGGAGCTGAAGTGTATATGCCTGTGTGTAGGAGTCATTATGTTTGCGGTCAAACCGCTCGTGCCGTTTTGGATTCTTCGTCTTCAATCAAAACGCATGATGTTGTTGTAGCGACTTCACTTTAATGTATTGTAGTGCCGCCGATTTGAGAGTTTGTAGGATTTTTTGTAGTCTTCTAGTTATTTAGCTTTGAGTTTTAAAGTATGTACTATTTAATCAATGGTTTTAAACTTGAACAAGATAACATGGTAACATTCTTTCTCTTATATACATTTCATATGTAATTGGGTGATTTGATCAACACTACAAGCCAAAAGTAAGCAAATCTTTTGCCAACATATATAAATAAAGGACAATACAATTTTCCTGTGTCTCATACGAACAATGAACTCAACAACAACATCATTTGTTATCCTGACCATAATGTGCGACAGTGCAGAGAATCATTCATTGCATACCTCGATGCTATGTTGTTTCAATGTTCACACAAAATCTTTGCAAAGGCTCTGTTTCTCCCTGAGTTTAATCAGTCCACAGCTGTGGTTAGGTTTTAGTCTCGTCGTATCCTCTTCTCCCGCCTTGACTCTTTCCGTTCTTCGTCTGAGCTGTACCGCGAAGAAGATGACTTCTTGCTCCTGTGATGCTTCGAGTGCTTCTTGTGGCTGCTTTTCTTCTCTCTAGAAGATTCTCTTCGCTTCCTTCTTGACCTTGAACCTTGCTTATCCCGGTTGTGGTAGTCGCTGGATGAATCGCTCTCTGAATTATTGTTCCTATATCTATCCTTCTTACTAGATCGTTTTTTACTCCGTTCATCTCCTGAGGATTCACTCGAAGATAGATCGTTGCCGCCACTCCGTTTTTTTGGAGACTTCTCTCTCTTTTTTCTACTCTTTTCTTCTTCGGACCCGAGAGCGAGGCTGCTCGTCTTCTCCTCCGCTTTCTCTTTCAATCCCGATCTACCAGGGGTTTTATCAGAAGAAGCTTCCGGTTTGCTTCTGGACTTTCTCTCTTCTTCCATTGGCTTTATTCCTTCCTGGTGTGGCACATCAGAAGGTACTTCGAACCCTAGTTCTTTCCCTAGAGATTCTAGGAAGTCACCAGCTATAAGTCGGTTTAATGTGGTAGCAGCAGCTTCATTCTTCTTTTCTTGACCCTCTTGTATCTTTCCGTTCATTGGTTGATCTTCATCATCTTCAGAATCATCAGAGAAGATGGCCTACAAGTGAACATGACAGAATATTTATAGATCGAAATTTTCAAATTGAGAATAAACTTTCTCTGACAAAGACACCTGCATTACCTTGTAAAGATCGACAGGCCTCTCCACGTTCTCCACTTCTACCTCAACTTCAGGCTCTTCTATTGATGTCTCTTTCTTAAGTTCTTGCGACTCAGATTCATGACGTGCAGATGCAGCTTTCACTGTATCCGGCAAGAATATGAGAGAATCCATTTTGTTTCTCGCTCGCGGAGGAGGAGGCAGCTGTAAAATTGAAGGGTCTGTATTGATCAATCAAGTAATAAATTTTACACATAAGCAAGAACATGGCACTGAAACATTATTAAAGTACAGCTAACCAAAAGAGATCATACAGATGCAGTGTCTCCACGTCATTTTTATCTTAACATGCATACCATTCATTCTTAACATATCTCACCAAGGGCAAAATTGCATTTGATATGATTAATGACATGATTATGCAAAACTTCACCAACAAGTGCTCTCCACAATAAGATATAAATTGTTTGATGTGTAGAGGAAGCTATTTTCTAGTGTTCAATGAATTTAAGCTTTAAATGACATTCCAAAACGCAGAAGCAAGGAACCACTTGTTTACCTTTCCCATGAAAGGATCAGGGAGATCAAAACGTTTGCACAAAAGAGGTGCAGGACGCCATTGGAACTCTTCCCTTTTAGGGTATGTCTTGCTCGATTTCATGTCTACGACTCCAGTGTCTTTAATTTGCTGTAAACAAAAGTTTTAGGTATGAGCATAGAACCCCCAATGAGCTGAATAACTGCAATTGAGATTCTGTAGAGATACCTCTGTTCCACCAGAAGTAAACTGCAGGCCTCCTGCAAGGAAGTCGATAGGCCGTTCAGTAGCCCGTCTGACCTCCTTATAGGCTTTCCCTTTCTCGATTGCTTCAGCTGCAGCCTCAAAGTCCAGCCTCTCTTGAGCACGAGCTGATTCTGACATTTTGTTAACTCTGTTGGAGTCTGTTGAACGTAACCCTCCTTTGTATTTCTCCTTGAGAAACTGCTCAAATCTCTCCTGTTTTACTGGATCATCTTTGAAGGGCTTAACAGCATCTGCTGCCTCTTGCTATTTCAAGGAAAGAAAGGTCAGTCTAGAATGTTAGTGCAAGGAAAACTAAGGTTCCTTGAAACTCATGTACCAAGAATAATCCAACTAAAATTCTGATAAGGTGTGAATTTGTTTACTTACAGATGAAGCTGATTTGGTAAATGTATCAGAGAGATTGGTCGGGAACTGGAAGGAGCCTCCAGAAGAAGCAGAAGCATCGGTTTCTTTCAAACTTCTCTGCAATGGTTTTTCACCTAATAAGCTGCCACGTGTTTCTGCAGTCATTTTCTGTACACTTGAAGACAGCTTAACATCCAATGTCAGCTTATTTTGATCACTGCGCTTTTGTTGCTCCTCCCACAGCCTTCTAGCGTAGTAGTCATGACCAATTCCTCCCCGAAGAAAATCAAACAGCTGATTTGATTGGTTCTTCTCTCTAGAAAGATCCTCGTACAGTTTTCCACAACGGGAAACAAAAGTTGCAAACCCCTCGATCAAAAGTTTCAGATTACTATCTGCAGGGGGAGGAACATCTGGAGGAGCAGAAAGAGTTGGCTTAGTTTCAGCCTCAAGGGGACCAGAAAATTTATGCCGGGCCACATAATCCTTTGGGATTTTTGGAGGATTAAACCTGGTATAATATAAAACAGAAAATGACATGAATTAGACTCTGTAAGTATGAAGTAAAAAGTCATAATAAGAAAAGTCGGAGCAAAAGTTCCACTGAACATGCAATTGTTTGACATTAATTTAATGACGTCCTCATGTTTGTGGATCATTGAAACATTAGTTTGAATCACCTCTCCATACTGTAGTCAGAATTCTTAGCAGCTCCAAAACCTGGCAGAACGTCATGCTCTTTTGAGGTTAACCTCAGTCTATTGTCATTGCTCGGTTTTGCTGGCTGTTCATCTTCTATGGTATAAGTCTGATCAAAATCGTAACCTGAAAAAAAAGCAAACATTTTGGTATTGCAGCATATCTGAGAATAAGTGGTTGATAGATCAAAACCAGTACTTCAAATTTCAAGCAAGTTTTTGCACCTATTACGAATATTATTTTCCAAAAGAATATTATTTTGACTACATACAGGAGCTAGAAGTTAACTATGGTGAACAATGGTTTGTCACCTCTAGGATTACAAAAAATGCAACCCCAACAGACTCTTATGCATATATGAACAAAGAAAACCATGAGTAGGGAAGTAGCTCTTCTGGGCTTACCACCATAGACATCTTCATCCTCAACATCAAGTTCCTCAAGTGCCCCAATGCCAAAACCCGGAGCAATCTTTCCTGCTGATTGGTCAACTCATATTAGTAACTAACACAACCCATGAGTAGTTCTCACGCAAAAACAATGCTAAGTAAAAGATGGCATAGAGATACGCAATAGAACAGAAGTATCTTTAAGCAAAGAAGAGCAAATTGATAAGAAAGAAAAAAATGGCGAGTTAAAATCTTACATTTGGGTCCAAAAAGACTTTCCTTCATTGACAAAGGTTTTCTGAAGCCAACCTCCTTATTAGCAGACAAGCGAGATCTTTTCTTTTCTACAGATCAGAAAAATGAGAAGCAAGTCAATGACCAAGATTACCCTGTCAGCAGAAACATCATAAAAGACCAAACTAGATACCTCTAAATTCAGGAGCATGATTGAAAGGATCAAATCCTAATCCATGCAGATCCTGCTTTGGATTGAGAACATATACCTGCAACAGATAAAGGAGGAACAAAGGATATCATCATTATCAACGCAAGTGAGGGTAATATCAGAAGAACCTCGGCAGCAGATTAGAAGCAGTTTTCACAGTCCACGTTTATTCTGCTACGAAATGTAGAAGAGATGTTCAAGAAAAAGTGACTAATAGATGTATGAAACCAGTAGCAATTGCAATCAACAACATAAAGCTTGTTTGCAAAGAAAAACTTGAATTTTGACTCACAGGAGTGCTTTCAGAAATTTTAATATCTTCACTAAATTGTGGATCCAGAGAAGTTTCCACTTCAGTCTCCGAAACCAGTGAATCAGACGTTTCCTTCGTATTCTCATCAGTAGAGAAGGCTAAGAATGCTTTCCTAGCTTCTCTACGAGCATCTGCACCGACAAGGGTATAAAAGAGAGAGCCACGAAATAAATAGCTTGCTGTGAATTTCCAAAATAAAAAGGCACTGACGGTTTTTATTGGTGCACAAAAGAAAATTATGGATTAGTGCATTTTAAACAAGTTCAAACCTGAGCTAGCACGCACATCCTTTATTGAATGACCACGCCGCCATCCCATCTTTAGCAACAGTTTGACCCCTGAACAATATAAAGAAGCATATACGTGAGATCAGGTTTTCTCCACTTGATGCATAAGAAAATAGAGAGAACGAAATAGATTGGAACTATTGTAAAATATTAAAGAGACATTTAGAAACTAACCAATTGACTCTGAAACTGGAGCAATAAATTCGTCAGGCACTGGGCCGGGAATGGCTGATGGCCTGTGACACAAATAACAATGTTACAAATGATAGCAACATCATAGCCAGCTCGAATGAGAGAAAAGGAATCTTAAGTTGTAGCATCTTCTTTTAGAAAACAGACTATCACACATTTTCTAAACATGACTAATGCCAAAGCAAAATGAATGCAAAGCATAGCTCCTAACAAGCTTCCAAATGAATGCAAAGCATATTAGAAAATAAGAAAGAATGGGATTTCCCAACATAGTTAAATTCTGGCCAGCTATAACCATGGATGAGATGTATTAAGGAAAATGACACATAAGTACGCAGATACCTCTCATGCTGTTCTTTCTCAGCTTGCTTGCGGGAATATTCGGCTGCCGTAAAACCAAACGTGTCAAACTGTGAGCTCGCGGACAGTGATTGGCCCTCCATATCCTGAAATGAAAAAGCATTTAGAATGGCTTAACAAGTTAACATCATTCCATATAGTGCCCTCTTCCACAGAGCAAAATACAAATTTCCAAATCCACTTTCCCTTTGACCAATTATAAATGTAACAGAAGAATTATGCAATATGCCGTAATCAAACTTTAACAAGCTTAACAGACCAAACAAAGTGAAGAAGATAAAACATACCGCCCTTTCATCTTCATCGAGAAAGTCTGAAATACTTTGCTTCCTTGCTCCAGCTCTGTTCTTCCTTGATGATGTAAATGACTGTGGAGCCCAGCCTGAAATTCAGTTTAGATTATAAACAGCAGAAAGCAGGTAAAAAGTCTTTAAAAATCAGGTAACGTAAACTTACCCTCTTTTGACCCCACTGTATTGTAATACCCAGCAGAGTATCCACCAGTAAATGCTCCATGGAACCTTCTCCGGCCTTCTTCATCCGTCACCTGGGTATGGTAAATCTCGAGATGTTAGTAGCTTTCCACATATAACTATATACAGATATACGTTATCTACAGTAAACAAAAAAATCATAGTGAACAGTCTCCGCACAAAGAACCTTGACAAGGAATTGTGAGCAATACCATGAATCCAATAGTAAGGAGAAAAAATTTCAACACAGATCGCTTCAATTAGTTTTTAATTATAGACCAAGGAAGATGCTAACTTTTATAAATGCTTAATTCAAAATACCTACAAAGGCAACCCCTATATGCAGGTTATCAATCTAATAATTATCCATAGACACATTCATAAGCAAGAACAAACACAGCATACATCTAAATCTCAGATACACATCATTCTAACTTGATTCTAAGTATTAGATCAGCTCCAGTAGAGAGACATTCACTTGGATTACCTTCCTTAAGATTAACTCCCGGATACTCAGAAATTTTCAAGCTGCTTAAGCTCCAAATAAATAAATTTAAAACCCTGAAACGGGATTGCCTCAGAGCTCTCTAACCTCACTCTACATTATATAACCTCTTAAGCTCTCTACAGTAAGTTAAAATCACAAAACAGCACGACAACGAAATACTTCCATGTTCATAGCCAAAGCGAGTCTCTCGATACTTAATTTACCTAATTCATCCGAAAACTAAACAGACGAACAAGAAGATCAAAGAGAGGAATCACCTCTTGCTTCCAAGCAGGGAGAGTTCTAAGATTGCCTGAAGCACCAGCGACTGCTTTCTTCTTCCGGCTCGCGATATCTTCCTCGCGCTCTATTGGTGTTCCATGAAACACGAAATCCTCCTCGTCTGACGCCATTGTATTCACCTCCGAGAACGAGCTGCAATTCGAGATTCTAGACGAGAGTCCCCGGAGAGGCAGAATCAGAGTCGATATATGGGCCTAGTTCATATCAACACTTTTGGCCCATTTACAGGGGTTTGATTTTATTTAAAATAAAATCTCATTCCTTCGACGGGGATTAATATTATCTTCACGCGCCGTCTCCAAGCATTCTAAAAGAAAGTGGGATTCACGCGCTTTGCGTCTTCCGTTGCCCTAATCGACTCCTCTAGAGAAGGCGAAGGAGAGAGAAAATTCCTCCGATAAGGTTCCGTACAATCCGATCGACTTACCAGCGCCGTATCTCGCCGCGACTCGGTTGAATCGTCTGCTCTCTGATTTGGATCTTCTCTTTGAACCGCTTTGACTCAGTTACGGTGAGTCGACTTTTTTCATTTGCCGCTTGATTGCTCCATATACGGATCTTCGTGTACGATTAACCTTACCCTTTGATCTGATTAGTTCTGTAGATTCAAACAATGGATCCAATGGATATAGTCGGGAAATCTAAGGAAGACGCTTCACTTCCAAAAGGTTAGTTTTGTTTTTTCGATCCATTTCTACCGTTGGTTTGTATCTGTATCTTCTAGATTTTGCAATTATGTTGTCTATGGTTCTGATCTGGTATATTGAATAGGATCTGTAAGCTTGAGGGTTATAGGATTCATGTTTGTAGTTTTGCTAAGAGTAAGTTTGTTCTCTTGTTGTTTTAGCTACGATGACTAAAATCATAAAGGAGATGTTACCACCAGATGTACGTGTTGCTAGAGATGCTCAAGATCTTCTCATAGAATGTTGTGTAGGTAAGATCATATATTTTCTCTCATATGATATAGTCACTTGCTCCACTTGTGTGTTAGTTCACGAGTTCTTGGGTTTCTTACTGTTTGTTGTTCTTAAAATGTATTTTGCAGAGTTTATAAATCTTGTATCTTCAGAATCTAATGATGTTTGTAACAAAGAGGACAAACGGACGATTGCCCCTGAGCATGTTCTCAAGGCACTACAGGTTCTTGGTTTTGGAGAATACATTGAGGAAGTTTACGCCGCCTATGAGCAACATAAGTATGAAACCATGGTAATAATTCTCTACTTTCTTCACTTCCACTCAATACCCTAGAAGAAGAAGATGAAGAAACGATTAAAGTTAACTGTCTCCTATGTTTGCAACTCTATAGCAGGACACACAGAGAAGTGTGAAATGGAACAGTGGAGCTCAAATGACAGAGGAGGAAGCAGCGGCTGAGCAACAACGTATGTTTGCAGAAGCACGTGCAAGAATGAATGGAGGTGTTCCGGTTCCTCAACCTGAACAACATCCAGAAACCAACCAGAGAAGTCCACAAAGCTAATTGAAACCATCCTTTGAATCCGATTAGGCAAAAAAGAAAGAAAAAAAAAAAGCATCCTGTTAACATTCCCTTGTAAGTGCAAATGCGTATGTCCTCTGTTTATATGCTCTTTAGTATATTATATGTTAGCGTTTCATGATCTAAAAAACAAACCCTTGTGATTCAGATGTAATTAGTAAAACAATCCTTGTTTTGTGTTACTCGTGTCTTCACTAAGTGCGGTTGGTCAAATCTAACACCATGAAACATGGTTTGGCGATGAGTATAACTGTCTTTCCATAAACGAGAGATGCTCGATCATTGTCACTTACCCATTTTGACAGTTGTGAATAATAAACATATGTCAACAACACTAGAAAGTGATTTACACGTATATATAACACTGAATAATTTACATAACTAAAGAGAGAAACCAATGATTAATCAAAATTATTTTAGTTTCTTACCAAAAATGAGTATAAACCGATGTATCATGGTGACATCATAAAAGCACCGGAGTAACTCAGTTACTAGGAGGACCATCACCGGAGTGACGTGTCAGTTCGCAGGTTTCTGTTTACTCTGCAGCCGACAACTAATAAGAGAATCCGAACAGACCTCTCTAGTACATAGTATCTCTTTATTTATGACGTCAATAAAACCTAGACTTGGTTTCGTTTATTTTTGTTTTCTTTTTCTGTAACACTATTTATAGAGACATTCGTTTGTATTATAGTAATAGTAGTAGTAGTAGTAGTAGTAGGGGATGGTTATATTCTTTGACACAAGACAAAGCCTGTCGAATGTTGTATACCTCTTCTCAATGGCCTGTCACACCATTCTTTATCTTGAGAATATTTCGTACTGAATCGAGACTGTAAAAACAAATTATGAACATTTTCACCATCACTGAATAGTTATATAGATCAAGCTTTCCGGTATAAAGCCCTAACAATGTATAGTATTAGTCTATCATACATAAGATTGAACCACAAAACTTCATCTATGCTAATCTTTAGTGCTCAGTCTCATAAAGTAACGGGACAAAGGACTCGAGCTTCTTGTTAAATTTATAATCATACAAATTGCTCTTTTAGTTAGTTGATGTCATATACCTAAAGTACCAAACCAACATGTATGATTTTTTAAGTTTCGAGTGGTGTTGATATGCAGAAATTGCTGAATCGTTGCAGAGAAATAAGGACAAGACGTCATTGCCGCTTGTGTCATATTACTGTCTTCCGTTTTTTTTGCCAGTAAAAGTAAAAAAACCTAATTTTACTGCCAACAAGTCAACAACTATGAAAAGAGTTATCAGAACTGTTCGTCTTTCATGGTAAAAAAAAAAAACCGAAAAATAATAATAATAAATGTACTATTTGCATGCATTTATTTGATTGTATGCTATATTGATCATTATAAAATGACTCTTTGCAATATTTTTTTGTTTCTTATCCGTTCAATTTGTAAACATATATGATAAGAGATGGTTAAAAATTGTACAAAAAAAGATTTGATATAAAGAAGAAAGGATTTTGATAAGTGTACTATAAGACTCCACTTTTTACTGTATAGACAACAAAACAAAGAAGAGAAGAATTGGAGTCAAAAAAAGGGGTTTGAGTCAAACAAAACAGGTGAGGGGGCTCTTTGTTGTAGAGAGGAACCCCACATCGAAAATGAAACAACAAACACACTTTGTCTCTCCAGGATTCTTTTCTTTTGTCTCATTTCCTCGTGTTTCTCCCAAAGTATTCAAACCAAAACAAAAACACATATCCTCATCCTCCCCCCCCCC